AAACAATGTATATCAAAGGTCATTCCATTATTTTCAAACTAATGTAAATGACCCATCCTGGTTTCTTATCAAAGAATTTGCAAACAATTGTGAAATCAATTTAAATGTGAAAAAGATAATTATTTCTTTTAAATAAAGAATAGTAATAACTTCTTTGAAGCTATAATAAATACGTTAATCATAGTTTGAATATAGTGAATGTCATCTTCATAATTAAATTTAAGGTCAAATATAAAGAACTGTGTTCAGCAACTACTTCATATACAACAAGCAAATTCGTTGAATTTATATTCCCGCCAAGAAACACAACAACTGAAGACATAAGGCTTTATTTATATATTTATTCATTCATGACCAGTCATGCACATTTTAAACAAGTGAGAGAAAGACGAATTTTTCTTCACTCTAACATTTGGCTTCTCAAAAGATGGAAATTAATCAATACTTTATTAAAGTGTTGTAAGACAGAGATCTTCGTTCAAAGCATATAAAGGAAACCAAAATAAAAAAAGTTTGGAAATCTTACCCGTGTTGGAATCCATGACACGAGGCTCGTTTAGATGCAGGTCAAAAATTTGACGAAAATCGTAATTGATATCAAATGTCGTCTTAAATTACATATAGATGCCTACATAATATATTCATGTCGACTTCAAACTATTTTAAATTGTCAAAAACCCGCCATTAACAACAAATATTGTCATAATGTATGTCGACGTGTCATAATTATGTACATAAGTCGCGATGAAATTGGGAAAAAATCATTATAAAGACAAAAGTCAACATAATTTAATAAGTAGACATAGGAACTAAATGATAATGTGATAATAACAGTTTTTAAGGACATGAATATGTTGTCATAATCTGTACTTGTCGTCTATAACAGAAAATGACAAGACAGTAAAATCCGATATGTCGACCTATAGCAAGTCATAGTACCGTAAATAACGAACATAGTCAACATACCAGTTTTTACAAAATACGTTATTATGTAGTTATGTCATTTTATTTTAAGACCACAAATCGTGTTCTTTTATAACGTCATGATCAAATTATCATATCATTCTTTATATTTTATGATAACTTGGCGTAATCATTTCGTCCTACAAGAACACATCTCCACGTGAAATGACATCATCAGGGTGTACCATATACGTTTCCATAGTTTAAGGCATGCCAACAAGTATTTCTGGTATGTTGATATATCTTATCTCAACTGCACGTTAGTTATTATGAGAAGGCTAAAAAATAAGGGCGTCTTGCCGACAACCTTCCAGGCATGTGGACAGATTTATGTCGTTATACTTCTCCGGTCGATATTTGACGTCTTGGCGGGCATATTAACGCAAAATGTCATGATGTCAAGATGCCATGCTGTATAAAGACACGCATATAAAACATTCAAATCTTATTATTTTTTTTTATTTTGATTTATAAATTGACAGTGTAATGTATCTTTGTTAGGATGCTGTCAATTTATGAAGAAATCAATTTCTTTCTATAAAAAAGATGCTTGCTGTATTATTAATTTGTTATGAAGCTTTTACGGGTTATATGGTCGTATATAAACGATTGCAACAAAACATTAGCTTAGCGGTTCGGCAACAAATGGCCAAACCTGTCAAAAACAAAAACAAACAACAACAAAAAAACCGGTCATTTAACCTGTCAAAACTAATATTAACAAACGTGCAATATAATAACGACATATAGGCAAAATTAAAGATGTTCGACATGTATTCGTGAAACTCGTCATGATTTTAGAATATGATAAACATTTCAAGCCAAAAATCTTAGAGGTCACCGATATAATTTTCTGGACATGAATTTCATTTTTGTATACATTGCTTGCAATGTATACAGAGTTATAAGCTATATCTCAGAAATAGTTACAGGTTAATGCGTTACCGAACACAGACACGTAATAGAAAGAGCACCGAAACACGAGGCTATCTGATTTGTACGAGGGGGCGTAGCCCCCGAGTATTTATCAGATTGCCGAGTGTTTTGGTGTTCTTTCTCTTTTGTATCATAGTCAAACATAAAAGCACGTTCCCTGTTGTCACAATATGAAACCCCGGCAAAAATGAACCAATGATCGAACATCTGAACTCTGCCGTCACAATATGTAAACCCCAGCAAAAATGAGCCAATCAATGGACATGCTCTAGAGTGCGGGTAACTAATACCCGTACTCCAGTCAACGTACTGTGCATGTATCTGTTTTAACCTATAGCTCCGCCCAGAAACACTTACTCCTTCACTGAAAATTATACCATAGTCTGGGTATGGTATAATTTACGGTTATTGGAAATTTTACTTAGAAGAATTTTACATAAGAAGCGCTGAAGAGCTATAGGTTAATGTAATGTTAACCTATAGCTCTTCAGCGCTTCTTATGTAAAATTCCATCCTTTACTTCCATCTACACATTAAGGTTGTTCATCCATGGAAGTTTAAGCAAAATCTGCCATCCGGTTTAAGAGGAGTTGCATTCACAAAATTTCTACATAGTATCTAGTGAAAAAATCAACAAAGGGCCATAATTCTGTAAAATTTGGTCGCAGTGAAAATTCCTTCCTTTACTGCCATCTACACCTTAAGGTTGTTCATCCCTGTAAGTTTAAGCAAAATCTGCCATCAGGATTAAGAGGAGTTGCGTTCACAACATTTCTACATAGTATATAGTGAAAAAATCAACAAAGGGCCATAATTCTGTTAAATTTGGTCGCAGCAAAAATTCCTTCCTTTACTACCATCTACACATTAAGGTTGATCATCCCTGGAAGTTAAAGCAAAATCTGCCATCCAGTTAAAGAGGAGTTCTGTTCACAAGATTTCGGGACGTACAGACAGACGGACGGACAAGTGCAACGCTATATGCTCCCACTTTGTGGAGGCATAAAGATCAAAGGAAAAGACACAAAAGTACCATTTTGTGAGTATGTCCGTCAGTTGTCAGTGGGGGCATCCGTGTCCTTTGGACACAGTTCTAGTTTATATCTACACTTATTTTGATTGTATACATTTGTACAGTGAACAAATTTAAAACTTTGTCAAAGTTACAAGACCAAGATGTTTGATACATAAAATGGTATTACAGATATCTAATGGTATTCAACTAGGTTTGTTCAAATTATTTTTCTTGTGGTTGATACTGGCCTGGTCCAACGAGGATCACTTATTTTTCTAGTGTCAAATCTGGGCCATATACTGCTTCACTCATTAATTTGGACATCTGGTATGTTTTGGTGCAAATTGTGACTAAATATAACCTTAAACTTTACTGTTTTGACTGTCTATTAAAGCTATGGCCCTCTAATTTGAATATTTTGTACAATGGATTAAACTTGTGGAATTTATGAACCAGTGACATACTTTTTCATTATCTAAGTAATAGCCAGGTCAGTTTTAATCGAGCGCTCCATCATTAACTTCTTAAAGGTTGTCTAAAATACATAACAAGAACCGGTTGATGCTGAATAGGTTTTGGACACAGGTAAGTAAACCTCTTGTAGTGTCAGGGTTATGTCAAAGTTCAAAGTGTAAAAATGAACAAAGGGCAATAACTACAAAATTAGGCAAGGCAGAGTTTTGGTTCTTTTGCACTGCACTTCTAATCAATGAGATCTATTTACCTACAAAATTTCATGTTGATATCTCTTACAGTTAGAGTTATAACCCATACAAAGTTCAAAGTGTAAACATGAAAACGAAGGGCAATAACTCAAAAATTAGGCAAGACAGAGTTATGGTTCTTTTGCACTGCACTTCTACCCAATGAGATCTATCTACCTACAAAGTTTCATGTTGATATCTTTTATGGTGTCAGAGTATGTCCCGGACAAAGTTCAGTGTAAAAATGAACAAAGTGCAATAACTCCAAAATAAGGCAAGACAGAGTTATGGTTCTTTTACACTGCACTTCTACTCAGTGAGATCTATCTTCCTACAAAGTTTCATGTTGATATCTTTTATGGTTTCAGAGTTATGTCCCAGACAAAGTTCAAAGTGTAAAATGAACAAAGGTCAATAACTCCAAAATAAGGCAAGACAGAGTTATGATTCTTTTACACTGCACTTCTATTCAATGAGATCTATCTGCCTACAAAGTTTCATGTGAACCTTTTGTTTTTTCAAAGTTATGTCCTCGACAAGAATAGTGGACGGACGGAGGGACAAAGCGGCCACTATATGCTCACCCTTCGGGGAGCATAAAAATATATAACATAATTTCAGTGTGCACTTATTTTATTTTTGATTGGTTGGTTTAGGGGTTTATTAATTTAAACCTTTTCATTCTTAAAAAGCTGATGGTAGTGAATATGTTTGAACTATTTTCTATAATGCAGGAAACAAGCTAGGTACATGTTTTGTCATTAACAGATCAATACCACATCGATCTAGTTTTGCATCTGAAAAGTTAAATATACACCAGTCAATTGGAATCCCAGTTCCCTCTACTGGGTAGTACAAATAGGTTGAGTAATCAGCTAATATTTGACATTCTATTTGACCTTGCATTTTCAGATCAATTTTGCTTTGGTAGCCAAAATTGGAAGGGATATTTCCAATTAGCAATGTTTAGCATGTCTTTAATCATCTGACTGTCAATGCTTGATGAGGCTATTTATATGTAACAAGAGCGATCAGTGAAATAATGTGTCACTTCATGATAGCCATTTGCATGTTGCAGCTTCTGTGTAGCAGGAAATACAAAAATCATTTACAGGGCAAAATGCATTTTATTCAAGGGCCAAAAGTCATTCAACCGGAAAACCCATGTAATATGCGCAAATACTAGAGCGATCAATCCTGTAAAGTTTCATATAAAGAGAAGTTTTTGAGGAGAAGTCTGGACAATTTTTGTGATGGACGGACAGACAGACACAACAATTAAAGTCCCACTATTTAATGGGGTTTACCATTGGCTATTGCATTAAATCCCACATTTCTTTACTGCATGAAAGCTTTGTTAGAAATCACAAACAAAAACACAATTCATTTTTACAAAACATTTATTCCTAAAAAAGACATGTGCAAACATTCTTTCCTAAAGCACTTCTTAAATTCATTATTATTTTGTTTTATTTTCATTCTATTGACAATTTCACTGAGTTACAAAATACCATACTCACAGACTTCCATGATTTACATGTACATCAAAATAAAAATACCTTATTGATCGTCTAAAAATTATAATAAAATGTAATATTCCTTCAAAAGCAGAAGTCAAACTAAATCCTTTAAATTAACAAAGTTTATTTATGGTTTCCAAACCCCCAAAAAAGTTTGAACTTGTATCAAATCAAAGCCATATAATTGTCAAAAATATCATACTATATTAATAAGTATTTTGAAATATAAGCATATTTTTTTTCTGAAAAATGCACCTACTGACCCCTACCCCACCCCAATAATACATTAGTGAACAATAACAATACTCCCTTAATTAAAATGATAAAATCTGCATGATATCTGATCTGCTTTCAAAATATTTTTCTTAAGGAAATGATCACTTTATTTCTTACAAGTCTTCATTATTTAACTTATATCTAAACTATAGCTGTTTAAATCATGATGAATTATATACTAGTAAGATGTTAAAGATGACAACTCAAGATGACTGTAGTTGTGCTCTCGTACTGTATGCAAAATAAAACACAGCTGCTGATACTGCTAGTGCTACAAACTCGCTTGGTACAAGCTGGCCTTTCCATACTCCCTAAAATTATAACATACATATATAATATAAAATTAATATGATATAATACATGTACAAATACTAGTGTATGCTTTTTTTTAGACTAAGTCTACACTTACTCTTTAATGATCATATGGCTTCATTTCCAGCTTTACTGGTGAAATATGACCTCAGGTGCCCTGCCATTCATTATTTTTGACTTAAGCAGGCACACAAACAAAACCACTGAGCCTAAGTAAGCTAACTGGATAGCTATAAAAAAAGATTCCAAAGTCTCTGGCAGGATACAAACCCACAGCTGTACCGAGCAAGCAGTTTGAAGTCAACGACCTTAACTAATCAGCACCAACGTCCCTTTGGACATTTGCCTCTCACAGCTTATTCTGATCATTGAGTAGTACTGAGTACAAATTGTTAAATACTGGTTAGTTATCCAAGTAACCTGGTTATGTGGACAAACCGCAGATGCCAGAGGTATGGCCAAAATTTGTTAAAAATTGGCACAAAAATCAAACAAACAATGCCTTGCATTTGGGTCATTAATTATATTACAGGCAGAACAGTATAAGTCTTGAGGAAAACATAATCTGCATTCAGTATTGCTTCAATCATTTGACACAGTAGTAATATCTTAAATCAATTAATCTAGCAAATTTGGTCAATAAACTTACTGGATGGTTAACTGGAATGGTGAAGAGAGATTTTACAGATCCTACATTTTCTCCACTTCTCTGTGCCTGTAATTAGATTTAAAAAAATAAGATCAGCTAATGATAGCCATATATACAATTGTTTTAACAATATTAAAGACATACTAAGCCTCAGAAATAATTTTGATTTTTCCTCTGAAGTTAAGGTAAACCAGTATTTTATAATGTTTGAACAATGATTTAACACCTGGAAAGATGCTTATCATGTGAAGAAAGCAGCATTGCATGGGAAACAATTTGTCATAAAAGTAGCAAAACCTAGTTAAAACAGTGGTATTTTGCCTGCTATCAAAAATATAAAAATCACTATTTCTTCACTTTAAGTGAAGGATGGTTAAGCTATATGTCTAAAGAATAAAAAAACTTTCAGAAACAAAATTTTAACATTTTTGATGGTAGGTGGACATTTTTTTACTGCACAGCTAGTAAAGCATCAGTTCCCATGCATCTTAAAACTATTTCTATTTAACGTCTAACAACATTAATAACAGAACAAACTGTATATTTTGCCAGCTTTTAGAATACTATTACTTAAATTACATACTAAAATTAAACAATCACTGGGTAGCGACAACAATATAAACATATTTATGCAACAATATTTCAGTAAGAAATGGCATTTAAGGAAAAGAAAACTATGGGAAATATGTTGTGTTCATCGTAAGTTTACCTTTCTCAAATTGGAATATCCGTCTTCATCATAAAACTTCAAATCATATTTGCCGGATGGTAAATTCTTGTTTTCATCACTAAAACTAACCTGTAAAACAAGACGTATATGCTGAGCAATATTCTGAAATGACTTTATATTTTCATCTTAATATCTCCTAAATTGAATTTAATAATTAATTGTTCCAAAAATAGAAGCTGGACAAGTTCATTTAAAAGACATAGCAGGTTAAGGGAATTAAAATTGTAACATATGTACTCATATCACTAACTCTTGACTAACAAGGCTAGAATGTTCTTTAAAGATGTAAGGTGGAGTCACTTTGACAATTCAAAGGTCACATGGTGACTATCCAGCATAACTGATTGAGGAAGACCTCAAGTGTCCCTCAGTGCACCTAAGTAGAGCCACTAGCATTCTTTCAGCTAGCTGGAGAGCTTTCTCACATCTAGACATATACATGTATGGCTAAATGATTTCAATAACAAGTTACCAAACAGGATCCATAATTAAAATACTGAACCACAAAAATAGAATAGATACAGTCCAACCCCGTTTATTCGAAGTGCCTGGGACTGAATATTTACTTCGAATAATCGATGGGTTCGAATAATCGAAATCGGAATATTGTGATAAACGAAAACTACTCCACTTAGACTCATCATAGCAAAACTACCTTTTACAACACTTTTACTTCCTGTAATCAATTGAGAAAAAATAAATATTAAAGTAAAGATGCGTAAAAATTGTTGAATCGACATTAAAGACATAAATACTTGCATTTTATTCTACATTATGTATCGTGTCGTTTCGCGCAAAGCCTTGATAATGGCCGTGTTGTCACTACGGTATATACAGCTAATCTCTGGTATTTTCGGTTAGGATACAGACTCTCATGTAGCGTTACAATTAATGAAAACAATGTTTTGGATGTTTTGACAAATTTACATGTACGGTATGTATGAAAATTATTGCTGTCATCTTCACGCAATAACAGTAACAAAATCGGACACGGTGCATTGCTTTTCATTTTCGGTAATTAAAGTTGATTAAAGAACACACAAAGAGTTATTATCATGATTGTCTAAATACACGCATGACTGTTGATATTTTTCACAAGTCGACCGGTCAGCGAGTGGATCTGCGCCAATTAGTCTGGCTTCGAATAATAATTAGGCTGGCTTCGAATAATAGGTGTGAAATTCTTTCATAATTGTATAATCGGGACCGAAATTTTACTTCGAAAAATAGGAGGTATTCGGATAATGCATTTCGAATAATACGCTCGTATTTATATTGATTTATATAGAGATAAAAACGGGACCGCCGATCTACTTCGGATAATGCCGGGTATTCGAATAAAGGGTTGTCGAATAACCGGGGTCGGACTGTACTTTATATTTCCTTCTAAATATATGTATATATATAAAACTATGAAATGTTTCGGTTTTCAAATAGCTACCAGTTAGAAGACTATAGTAAAAATTCAGTCATGTCACAGACGGATCATCAGCAGCAATTCAATATTTTATTTGCAATAATCAACATACAAAATGCCTTGGGCAAAGGTCGACAATCTACAATCTATAAAAATCACACATGCATCAAATTGTTACATAATGGACACAATATACATTGTATACTGACCTGGTATTGAAATTCTGTGTTATCTTCACTTCTTGTCACAGCCAGTGTACGACCATTCACATCAGCAAACAAAGTAAGATCCTGCAAAATTACAAATCTTATCACTTGCATAAACATGAAAACAGAAGTCATAGTCAATTATTTTATTCAAGTACTTAATCATTTGGCTCTGTTCACTTAGTGTGGTGTATTTCTTAATAGTAACTTAATTAAGTTTGAAAAATTAGTAAGACAGTATAATGAACAAATACAAATAAATTTTGAAAAAAAAAACCCTTTAAATCCACCATTAGACAGCAGTTCTAAGCCGGTGCTCATGCCCTGATACAAAATATGGTAACATCCATGAAAAAATGGGAATTGTTAATTTATCAAATAAATACCTTGAGACCATTCTTGCATGTCAATGAGAATTGTACAATAAAAATGGTATCCATTGATGAGGTAGCCTCTGTGGTTGTATATACTGATGACTTGACTTTAGGATCCAAACAAGAGTCACCTGTAAATAAAATAAAGCTGTGGTGTTTGAACCTAAATGGAAGATACTGAATTAGTAATGACTTGTTGTTTTTTTTCGTTTCAATGAATGAAATATACCTGTTAATTACAAGATTCAATAATGGCAACTTGACATTTCTATTTAAATAAAGATCTGCAATAAATATACTTTAGGCCAGTTTAGGCAGTGGCTAGCCGTACGGGCCCGTATTTTTAGCCGTATGTTTTTTAGCTTTTGGGGGAAGGGCGTTGGTACCCTTTCAGTTTGGAGTGGAAAAAATGCAATAGGAGGGGGAATTTTATTTGTTTACTTATTTTGTATTGTTGAGCAACTCTTGCAACGTTTAAAATATGTCTCTTTTTCTTAATATACAGATCTAAAATATCGATGCCTCACATGTTAAACTTGTTGGGACTCCAGGAGTAGCTCCCCTTACCTACCAGAGAACGATTTGTAAACAACCTTGCTTAACAGTAACTCTTACAGGCATAAAATAAAACATTTTTCGGCAGTTAGTTGCAAAAAAATGATATTCATTGCAGGCAAATTCGGGCTGCCATATAGGGGGAAATTTTGGCCTTGAGGGGGGAAAAATATACTATTTTGAGGGGAGAATGGGGCCGAATTTTGCCTAATATTTTGGTGAAAAAAAAAAAACACTGGTGAGCTACGTACGACTAGCCTATACACACTGTTGAGGCTAGCTGTACGGCTTTTTTAAAATAAATAACCTAAAACAATAATGAATATGTACACTTGTGTTTCTAAATGAAGATTGTATTATCATGAAAACTTTATCAATTACAGAAGATTTATCAATTTTTGGGCATTTGATGATTGGAAGTTTTTTTCCTCTGAAAATCACAGATTTTAACAAAGCTTGTGTGGAAATTTGAAGAGAAATAAACTGAAACATCGTTAAATCATGGGCAAAATTGATGTTATACATTTGTAATAATTTTTTTATCTTGATCACATTTAGCGAGCATTGAAAATTTCTTTTAAAAATGCAGTGAGTGTAGCTATTTTTCATGATTGCATAAGCACGCTATCGGTCAATCACTGACTTTAATTGACTTGACATTAAAGTATGTGGGTCAGTTTTTAGTAGTAGTTAGATCATAACAAAATATTTTCAATAATATTGTAAATACAGTAACACAAAATTAACATCCTCTTACGAAAACTACATAATTTAAGCTGAATTTATTTCTGATAGATCTATTTGATATCTTGTAATAATATAAAGGGCCGGATATCATCCATAAATTTATTTAGAAAAAAGAAAAATAGATATCATTCTGTGTGAAAATATAATTCAAGATGTGCAAGTTTTTAACAGTATCTTCATCACTGCATTTATTTGTTAATAAAAAAATCTGTACAGCTAACCTCAACAGTTGGTATAGGCTAGCCATTTGTGACTTATGTAAGGTTAGAACTTTTGGCTAGCAGTACAGGCCCATATGGCTAGCCACTTTCTATTCTTTAATCAGATCTGCTTTAATCATTAATTTCTGGGGCTGGAGCAAAATCAATTGTCCCTGTTTCATAGGTTGTCCAACAGCCTGTAAAGTCAAGTGGAATTCTGGTAATACAGTTATGGACCTTTTCATACATAACGTAGGTCAGAAGGGTAGTCAGACTATTCTCTCCCTTACCTGTTCCTCCCCTGACGTTTCCTCCCTGACGGTTCTCTCCCTATTTTGGGGGAGAACTGTCTGCATATTTGCAAATTAGAAGACAGTTCCTCCCCATTTTTATTTTTATAATTACATTATCATTAAAGTATTTAGATGATAAATAAATGGGTAAGTTTATTATCAATTGATATAAATTAGAAAAAAATAGATTTTATTGAAGTGTTTAGATGTTAAATAAATGGGTAGGTTTCAGGGCCTTTTTACCTACTATAACAGAGGCCGGTATAGGGCTGCTTCCCCAAAGAAAATTTCTTTAAAATCATGCAGTTTTCCCCAAAAATTGAATTTACATCAAGTTTTTTCTTCCCCTTTTGCAAATATACCGTGTAATTTTTCCCCAAAATTAAGGGCTGGGCTGCTTCCCCAAACTGTGAAAAAAAGCCCTGGGTTTATTATAAATTGATATAAACTAGAGAGAAAAATACTTAAATGAAGTATTCAGATGTTTAATTCAAGTTTCAATTTTGTTAGCATCATCAGCAACAATAAATCGGTAAGTTTATTATCAACAAGAGCTGTCTGTAGGACAGCACGCTCGACTATTCTAAGTGCTTGATAGTAAAAGAGCCTTGATAATGTTAAGTTTTTAAATTTGACAGAAAAGGTACAAAAGCTTGTTATTAAGATGTTTTATCAAGTAAATCACTGCTTTATTATTATGAATGCATAAAATTGTCCCAAAAAAGGCACAAACCCTTCAGTAGTTATTGAAATAACAGCTTACAAGCAAAACTTTACCATGAATTTCTAAGTTGAAAAAGGGGAGAAAAATCAGCCTAAATGCAAGATAGAATTATGGATCTTTGTCAGTGACCTACAATTATGACCCTAAATGCATATGTGAAGTTTTAAATAAATATCTTTAATAGTTATTGAGATATGTAAAACTTGCATGTAAACATTAACCAAAAGACTAAGTAGAAAAGGGGATATGAATCAGCCTTAATGCAAGATAGAGTTTTGGAACTTGGTCAGTGACATACAATTATGCCCCTCCAATTATGACCCTAAGTGCATGTGTAAAATTTCAAGTAAATATCTTTGAAGATTTTTAACCTTTAACCAAAATTTCAAAGTTCCAAAGGGGCAAATAATTCTGCAAATATTGCAGACAGAGTTATGCAATTTTGCAAACTGATGTACATTGTTATCATAAATAAGAATTTTAAATTTCAATTGAATATCTCAAGCAATAATTGAGATATTTGACTTTACAAAAAAACTTTAACCAAAATTTCGAAGTTCCAAAGGGGCATAATTCTGTCAATATGGTAGGCAGAGTTATCCAACTTGTCAATCAGGGCCTTTTTACCTACTATAACAGAGGCCGGTATAGGGCTGCTTCCCCAAAGAAAATTTCTTTAAAATCATGCAGTTTTCCCCAAAAATTGAATTTACATCAAGTTTTTTCTTCCCCTTTTGCAAATATACCGTGTAATTTTTCCCCAAAATTAAGGGCTGGGCTGCTTCCCCAAACTGTGAAAAAAAGCCCTGGGTTTATTATAAATTGATATAAACTAGAGAGAAAAATACTTAAATGAAGTATTCAGATGTTTAATTCAAGTTTCAATTTTGTTAGCATCATCAGCAACAATAAATCGGTAAGTTTATTATCAACAAGAGCTGTCTGTAGGACAGCACGCTCGACTATTCTAAGTGCTTGATAGTAAAAGAGCCTTGATAATGTTAAATTTTTTAAGTTCACAAAAGGGCTAATTTTTTTTTATAAATTCATGTTATAGTCTAGAGAGAGTCTAATTATACAGAATTGGCTTGACTATTTGGAAGGTAATGTCACGAGGTTTTTTATTGAGTATAATAATACTAATTACCTATGAATACATAAATTTGACAGAAAAAGGTACAAAAAGCTTGTTATTAAGATGTTTTATCAAGTAAATCACTGCTTATTATATGAATGCATAAAATTGTCCCAAAAAAGGCACAAACCCTTCAGTAGTTATTGAAATAACAGCTTACAAGCAAAACTTTACCATGAATTTTTCTAAGTTGAAAAAGGGGAGAAAAATCAGCCTAAATGCAAGATAGAATTATGGATCTTTGTCAGTGACCTACAATTATGACCCTAAATGCATATGTGAAGTTTTAAATAAATATCTTTAATAGTTATTGAGATATGTAAAAACTTGCATGTAAACATTAACCAAAAGACTAAGTAGAAAAGGGATATGAATCAGCCTTAATGCAAGATAGAGTTTGGAACTTGGTCAGTGACATACAATTATGCCCCTCCAATTATGACCCTAAGTGCATGTGTAAAATTTCAAGTAAATATCTTTGAAGATTTTTAACCTTTAACCAAAATTTCAAAGTTCCAAAGGGGCAAATAATTCTGCAAATATTGCAGACAGAGTTATGCAATTTTGCAAACTGATGTACATTGTTATCATAAATAAGAATTTTAAATTTCAATTGAATATCTCAAGCAATAATTGAGATATTTGACTTTACAAAAAAACTTTAACCAAAATTTCGAAGTTCCAAAGGGGCATAATTCTGTCAATATGGTAGGCAGAGTTATCCAACTTGTCAATCTGATGTACATTGTTACTATAAATAAGTATTGTTAGTTTCAATTGAATATCTCAAGCAATAATTGAGATATTTGACTTTACAAAAAACTTTAACCAAAATTTCTAAGTTAAAAAGGGGCATAATTCTGTCAATATGGTAGGCAGAGTTATCCAACTTGTCAATCTGATGTACATTGTTACTATAAATAAGTATTGTAAGTTTCAATTGAATATCTCAAGCAATAATTGAGATATTTGACTTTACAAAAAACTTTAACCAAAATTTCTAAGTTAAAAAGGGGCATAATTCTGTCAATATTGTAGGCAGAGTTATCCAACTTGTCAATCTGATGTACCTTGTTACTATAAATAAGTATTGTAAGTTTCAATTGAATATCTCAAGCAATAATTGAGATATTTGACTTTACAAAAAACTTTAACCAAAATTTCTAAGTTAAAAAGGGGCATAATTCTGTCAATATTGTAGGCAGAGTTATCCAACTTGTCAATCTGATGAACCTTGTTACTATAAATAAATATTGTAAGTTTAAATTGAATATCTCAAGCAATAATTGAGATATTTGACTTTACAAAAAACTTTAACCAAAATTTCTAAGTTAAAAAGGGGCATAATTCTGTCAATATTGTAGGCAGAGTTATCCAACTTGTCAAGCTGATGTACCTTGTTACTATAAATAACTATTGTAAGTTTCAATTGAATATCTCAAGTAATAATTGAGATATTTGACTTTACAAAAAACTTTAACCAACGCAGACGCCGACGCGGACGCGGACGCCGGGGCGACTACAATAGCTCTCATATTCTTCGAATAGTCGAGCTAAAAATTAATATAAATTAGAGAAAAAAATATTTTATTGAAGTATTTAGATGTTTAATAAATTTGTAACTTTATTATCAATTGATATAAATTGAATTAGAAAAACTTTTTTTTTAACATAATTATAATAATAATTGATCACTGATGATATTAGTTAATTATTCTGATTTTTAATTAGATGTAATGTATACTTTTTAATGTGTTTAGTCATTGAAAATAATTAATGAATAATTTACTTGATAAGGATAATCATAAGATATTATTATTTTTTTTTTTTTAATAAATAAAAATGAAATTTATAGGCAAAAAATGATTAATAAATTTTAATTGCTAAACTTTTGTATAATGAAGAAAAAAGGAGTTCAATACACACATGTATGCGTTAAGTTAAATGTTTGCTGTCAGTGCTAATTGAGGTGTTTATTAATTCATTACTCAAGAATCAAGGTGTTGATTAGATTAAAATAGCTGTGAAAAGGTGTTGATGAATAAGTATTATATTAGTTATTTGGTATTATACATTGTTTCAAGTTAATGATTACATGTTTTTAAAATCGATTTCGAAAAAAGTATATGTGGAATGTGTTTGCATACCAGTTTTGTTTATTTATTTTCTAGAACATACTTGTTTCCACCTTATTCACTATTTAACAAATGAATGAACATCACATTAGCTAGACCTTAACATAATTACAGGTGTACAGTGTTCGAAATTAGCAGTAGTCCTATAGCCCCAGACTACTAAATTTCTCCTCGGGCTACCAACTGTTCACAGTTACAAGCCCGACCAGGCTACTGTATTTTCAGAGGCAATATAAACAACTGTTTTGAACAAATGAATCGTGCTAGTAAAATGTCTTTTGGGCTAGTGAAATATTCCATTCTGGTAGTCCGACCAGCCCAGTCGACTTAAATTCTAATTTCTTACACTGGGTGTATATCAATCACTGTCCAATGATCTATACATGTATCTCTCACAATAAAGGTGTTGATTATGATAGGATTAAAATACTGAAAAAAGGTGTTAAATTTACAAACACTTTTCAGCTGATAAACATAAAACATAAAATGCAGTTAATATCAAACACATTCTTTTAATAATCTTCATTAAGAAATATTATTAGATTAAGTCAAAACTAAAATGATAACTTATAAAAATAAAATTGGGGGAGAACTGTCAGCATATTTCAAATTTGGGAGAGAACCGTCAGGGGAGGAAATGGTTAGGGAGAGAACCGTCAGGGGGAGGAACTGGTAATGGAGGGAAAAGTCTGTCATTCGGTGAGAAGTATACTCAACATCACTAATTCCGCGTCATCACTTACCTCGCGGTAATGGCATATTTTCATGTGGCCAGTGTTAAAATTGGTCAGAATTGACATATTTTATTCAAACACCTTAACAACAAAGTTTTTGTGCAAAATAATTTAAATCTATAGATTTTTTCATAAAACTGAGCAACATTTTACAAACTTTTGCAAAAAACAACATTAGTCCATTAAATTTGTGCATACGTCTGAAACAATCATCATTTTCTTAATGTTCTTGTTTGTTAAAAAAATAAATTTTGAGTTACAATGTAAAGATTATTTTAATATTTAAATTATGCAAAATAACATAAAGAAATTTTAACTGAAACATGAAAAAACAGAAATAAAACACCATTACCGCGAGTTAAATGATGACATACTATTTTCAAAATGGCCGACACACGGTCTACATCTGACAAATTAAAACTAATTTAGATTGAATATATTGTTGCTTCCTCGTGTCATATTGCAGAAAAATGACTAAATGATACAGTTTATGACAGTTTTTGTAGTGAAAGTTTACTGTTTGTGTTCTTTACTGTTTTAAAGTGTTAAGTACCGTGACCTAAGAGGAGCACAGTATACCCTATTTTTTGAACATAGAACATAAAATTTTGGACAAAATAAACTGAAATCTGGATGCCTGGGTGATTAGGACAACACTCAGTATAGACCAACAATAAACTGTTTCCGATCATTGAGGTTTTCTTACATTTTGACAAAATCATCACCGGCTACTTGTAAAATTATGTACCCCACCCACTAATGGCTGCCACGTAAGCAGAATTTTTCTTTCAATTGTAATGATCGAGGTAAAATCGGCAGGAATGTAAATAAAAATTATTAAATCTGATCATCAAATGTTTTCACTGAGAAAGCAATTTCTTACCATATACCATAAATGGCATCACTATCATGCAAAATGCGAATATTGTTTTGCCGGCGAGTTCCATCTTTTGTCTTTCCACAGTAAAATCCGAGGATAACCGATTATTTCGTTACAACTTCTAAACCCCGTACGGCGAAACGTTACATTCCGTAACTTCCGTTGGACCCGTTTCGTTACCGAATTTCTCTGTAATTTACAGAAATCTATTTTTTAATCATTACCGAAATATACTCGTAAAATATTTTTTATCTTTGTATCACTGATCTAAGTATATTTTGATAGACATTTCATGAAATTCTAACACATGTGACATTTGGTTAAAATGAAAGTTTACTGATTTTTTGCGTTTCTGAAAAGATTACAAGACGTTCTGGGATTTAATTGGATATGGCCTGGGAGGCAATTGAGCTATAGGATAAATATTTTGAGATAGCATTGGGTACGAGACTGGCATATAAAAAAAAACTTAAGTTTTTAATGGTGACCAGAGATTAATTTTATCATCATATGTTTTACAAAGATTAGTTCATGTTGAATTTGACAAATACTCACTATACAATTTCAACTTTATATAGGCAAGGTGCTTCTGCTAGACGTGCAAAAACAAATAATTATAGAAATAAAACTGAAAAATAATAAAAGAAAAGAAATAAAAACATTTAAAGGAGACATTCGTTTGCTTTGGATGTTACATTGTTAATATGTTGGGACCATCATTATTTTTTAGCAAAGGGCATCCGAAGGTAGTTTAATACATCTATTTGATTAATGTAGGAAAGGAACAGATAAGAATTACAGCCATCGTTTATCCTGCGTGATCGTAAGAGGCGACTTAATTTGTTCGAGTAACAGGAATTTATGCATCTCTTAATTGACTCCAACAGGTGAGGTGGTTTTGACCCCTGCTGTTGCTTTAAACTTTAAAGTTTGTACCACATGATCGATGTTAGACAATAACCAGTAACAGAGCCCTCGGGACACCGGACATTATGAGAAGGTCCTTTAGAGTTTGCTACATCAGTCTGTTGACCTTATAGACTTAGCTAGACTTCATAAAACTTGTTTCGGTAAAGCTGACCAGTTATGTCCCACAGCTTCTCTTTAACCTAATTCTTTGATTAACTCTTCAACTAATATCAATGAACTAATATCAATTCAATTTAAATGTTATCTTCATGAGCCGGACCACACTGTATTATATGGGAGAGGGAATTTGTTTGTTTTTTTGTGAATATGCTAAATACATTTGTCAACAATTCTGATAGTCTCCTTCAAAAACATGTAATGTCACGAAAGAAACCCGACAAAAGTAACTTGTTTAAACAAAAGTTTCCTAGGAATATAGACGCTTGACTAACCTTAAAGATAATACAAGCCGTTGGCGGGATACAAAAATGCGCATGACGATAGATATTTTGTATTAGAGAGAAAATATTTACACATAAATATACCTAACATAGAAGGTCAAAAAAGTTAGGCAGGGATATTCCACGTCATCGATCGGTGGCGGAAATTACTGATCGAGTGACGGAAAAATACGACCTTCTAAATCGCTTTTTTTCATATAAGGACATTTTAAAACACTTTTATCGTGTTTATTGTAATCTACATATCAAAATATATTGAAAATAGAAAAACATGCACATTCTTGGCCAGAGACATTTACAGCAATACTCTTTTTGAAAAATGTTAAAGATATGTCTTATTCATGTAAAGAGGACATGTAATTTCTCATCTCTGATTCAGTTTTACTGTAAAACCAACTTGACACGATTCGAGATTAATAAAAATAAAGGCACATTAGATGCAAATGAATCTACAGGTTTAGACGGGTTTTTAGAATATTGTAGTGATATGCGTAATTACACCATATATCGCATAAAAATACACATGCAACAGCATAAGTACGGTACACGATCTCTTAATTAGACGCATGGTTATTTTGAACAAACTGATATTATAAATTAAACACAGTCCGACTAGGGCTTTCTTTAGGGATTCTGTATTTATCTATTTTAAGAAAACATCACTCGTGCCTACAGCATTAACCAGGCTAATCAATGTCTGGATAAATGATGGCTATTGTAAAACTTTAATGGTAGCCGTATGCCTTGATCTTGGGAAGATATTTGATTTGGTTTACCACGAAATCGTTTTTATTAACTAAAACTTTATTATTTCCATGCATAATTCATAGAGGATATTATAAATACAGAATTTATTTTGATCGAGTGGTATGAAAATAAATATTTCATGAGTGGCGGTAGCCACGAGTGAAATATGTTAAATTTCATATCACAAGATAAAAAATCTTGTATTTAAAGAAATACAAAAAACTTGAATTTTCTGTTTATTATACATGTATACTTTTTCTCTCTTTTTTAGCCTTACAATTCTTAAGACATCTTCTTTAGTTTTGTGTATTGGCTGAATTTTGAAGAAAGTAGTTCAGCAAGACACCAGTGAAAATACGGAATATATGTTTCACTGCAGTAAAAAATATTTTTTACAGTGAAAATACGGAAAATGAAAAAACGCATTTTATTTTGTCAATATTTCTCAATATTTCATTTATAAGTATATAACGAATATAAACGAATCAATAAAAAATTGGTTCTCATTTATACGCGATATCCTTCAGTCTTCTGGTCTAAGTGAAGTCTGGTTATATCCAGAATCCGTTAAAATAAATGTATTTGTCCCGGTCTTACGTTGTAGGCTTAGAGATATATACATAAGTAATTGGAGAACGGGGTTGCAGATATCAAGTTCCTTAAATATTTTCCGCGAGATAAAAGATACATTTGAGCAGTCAAATTATATCAGACTATTAGAAAATACAAAATTTAGAAACGCACTGGCTAAATTACGTCTCTCTTCACATAAACTTAACATTGAAGTCGACCGACACTACAATATTCCGCGCGATGAACGTAAATATACACTATGTAATTTAAACGACCTAGAGGACGAATTTCACATTGTTTTAAAATGTACAGCTTATGTCGATTTAAGAAGGTTATATATAGGTCTACCCAGATATTATTATACCCACACAAATATAATTAAGTATATATCATTAATGCAAAGTAGTGATAAGAAGATCTTAAAAAATTTGGCTCTATATTGTTTTAACCCATTGCTTCATATACACGCCTTTTAACGCCTATTTCACCCCCCCCCCTTTTTGCTGTCTCAAATGGTGAAAAAATGCCTTATTTAAGCCCCCAACACTTGTTTTTGTTTGAGAAATGTTGTTAAAAAAAGTGACCACTTTTTCGGAAGGGCAATGGTCCAGTTAACATTTGTGCCAAGTTTGATTAGTGTTGAAGCAGTTTTTATAGTATTATAGCAATTTGAACTTGTAACGGGAGACCTTTCAATGAAAACAGCCATTTTTCACAAAATGCTCATGAAGTAATGGGTTAAAGCTTTCAAATTAAGGGATTCACTATTGTAATAATATAAACGTCGTTCTCAATCTGAAATCATTCCTTTTTTTTGTTATTTTTATTTTATATTTTTTTATTCCATGTAAATTTTGAGTATATATAAATATATTTCTTAGAGTGAAAAAAAAATTCAGATAAAAATTTTGCGTGCGACACCTTGTGGTGAAAAATTTTCTATGATCCGAAAGATAGAATTACACCGAAAAGTGTTTAAACACCAGAAATGCCTTAAATGTGCTAAGATGTAAAATAAGATGTAACTGTACAAACATAAATCACTTTATACTGTTCCACTATATAAAGTATAATTATATGTTCTTTTTTCATTGTTAACGACGATGGGCTTGTAATGCTTAAGTCAAATAAAATATTTGTTCTGTTCTGTTCTATAATAAATGAAATTATTTGATTCGTATTGTCAAGCAGACGTCAAAAGTGACAGTTGAAAGATAACAATCTGTATTCTAATAGTCTAATCAGGAGTGCCACAAGGCTCTATATTAAGAGTTTTATCATTTTTAATATAATTATAGTAACGATAAGCGTCTGCCTGTCAAGACGTAGACATCAATTTATATGCTGACGACTCATCTCTATAATTTCGATCAGATATTCAAATGAAATTACAATTTAATCTTTATTGCATTACTGAATGATATAAACGAAAAAATGCATCCAACACCAGATGCATAGTTATTGGATCTAGGGAAAAGTTGGAAAGCACATGCCAGCTTACACTGAAAATACAAATGACACTGTTAGAAAATGTTGAAGTGCAGAAAGTATTAATATTAGGATATCTGGTAAAAAAGTGATCCCTCGTAAGCATTAAAAACAGCAAAATAACATGAAAATTGCAGACACGGTTTGACATGAGGAATAAGGAAACAGTGCAACATCGGGTGATCCCTTATGCCCCCTAGCACCTGCTTGAGCGGTTCTCAATTCCAAACATTTAAAAGTGTTGGACTCTATGATTCCGAAGGACCAGAAAATATAACAACACTGAAGTGAAGTACGTGGCAACTTTTTACGTCTGCCACACAGCACTTGACACCTGCTGTTGTGATGTATACATATGTTTATTTTCAATATATTGAATTTGCACTCTCAGATTGATCCTGTATGCAACACATTTAACACTAAAATTGGCCCTTTAAAATGCACCTAATTGTATCTTATTGATGATATGAACATTTCATTTTACAATGCGTATATTCTTCTTATATTTGATGATTGGGGTACAGATAACAAAACCTACATAAGAAATACATATGTTAAACAAATCGCAAAACTAATATTAAAAAAAAACGACAACAAAAACAACAACAACAACAACAACATCAACAACATTAAGGTCATCAATTCAAACAACTAACTGTGTTTGATTGTAAATATTGTAGAGCTATACTTGTATATAGAACTATGAACCGATTCAGACGCACATGTGACATTTTTATTGCAATATTTTCAAGTGTTTTATTTACGTTGCATGTTTAAACACATGTAGCATCACAGTGTACGAATAGCGATATCCACAAGTGAAATATGATAATTTTCATATCACAAGATGAAAATAAATCCTATATGTATGAAAAGAACTTGAATTTTCTGTTTATTATACACTTTTTCTCTTTTATGATCGTCCACTTTTTTTTCAAAAATTCTCCTTTAATTGTGTGTATTGGCTGAATTAAGAAGAAAGTAGTCCGGCAAGTTTATCAGTGAAAATACGGAAAATGAAAATACGTATTTAATTTCATCAATATTTCATTTATAAGTATGTAATAAAAAGAAATATTTGGAACCCAGTAAAACACATACTGGTACGATAATAGATGTGTCGCGCAAAATATACTCTTACGCTGAAAAACGTTTAAAAGTCTTTGCAGAATTAAAAAGTCGATTTCCTGAAATGATAGATTTTCACGAAAAGATCAGAATTTTCAAGATGTGCAGCAACAAAACAGTCTTCATCCAAGGGGAAAAACAACTACCTTAATTTCTGTAATGCTTCTAATAGGAGTAAACTTTCTCTGGTTATTCTGTCTTAAATGCTGTGACTTTTACTAATAACTTTAAATCTATTTTGACAAAATCCTTGACAAATTATTACACCAGCGTTACTTGTTGGAACCAATTTTTAAAATGATATTTTTGCCATGTTTGACGATTGCATGCTCTGATTAATTTACATGTTTAAAACTTATTTGTGACGCCATCTTTTGTATCACATATGTATTTATTTACATGATTATTCTAATGTTTGTTGTTACAATCCTTTTTTTCTATCAAATATTTATAAAAATATAGATAGTCATTTTGTGTACTTCCGAAGTGTATCAGTGCGGGGCGTAATCAAAGAAGATGCGTCAATTAAAAGCATTCTTAGATTCACTCATAAATCATTTATGATAAATTCAGACATTAAGTCCAAAAGCCTAAAATATAAAATTTGAATTTCTTACAAACATCAGTATGAACAATTTAAACAGAAAGATGTGCAAAAATTTAATGAAGAAATGTACCCAAAAAACAAGTTAAAAGTCGTATTTTTGTGCTATTTTAGCCCAATTTAAGTGAAAAGCGTTGCAACGCGTTTCAATTAAGGCCAATATCCACATTTAGAATAATTATTTTGGAAAAAACAGAGAAAGCGAATGATCTGAAATTTTCACATACGTTATTGGTCTAGACCTACATCAAATGGAACATTAATCTCATAATATTATTTTGTGTCAAAAAAAAACGCAATAGAGTCCCTTTAAGCAATCCTATAAAGATTTGCATTGTTCTTGTGAACAGGTAAAATACATCATACTAAATAAGTTTACTCACTTATCGGTATGATATTCGAAATGTTAAAAATACCTGACATTTATAGGAAACACATGATGTTTAAAAGTATACTAGTAGTTCTTTTCTAAATAACCTCACTCATAAACTGTGATAGAATACTGTTTCCAAATTTACGACACTTCCAGCTGTTTAATTTAGAATGAAATATGTACATTAGTTTGATATAAATTCTATCAAACATGAATTTTCAGAATTTGCTAAATTCATAATAGCATATTAAATGTTTTTAATGTATTTAATGTTTTAATTCACTGTTGTTTCTAGATTTTATTATACTTCTAGCTGGGTAATTAAGAATGAAGTATGATCTGCCATGAATAAAATCAAAGATGCATTAGTCGATATAACCTTTATCAAACATTTAATTTTCAAATTTTGCAAATAAAATCAGATTTTTGTGCTCGTGTAATAACTTAGAATAATGTATCTTAAGGTACAGACATATGTACATATGTACAAAGTCGAAAGTACTTATAATTAGAAATTAAACTTAGTAAATGACGATCTACATTTGTAATGAATTTGCTATCTTATGAATAGGATTATTCGCCTCCCTTATTTAATGTATCGAGCGATAATTGAATATAACAAAAAAAGAAGAAAGTAATCTCGTATAAGAAAAATAATGTAACAAAATATAGCAATGAAATCAAAAGTCGAAGGCGAAGACACGAAGACACGATAATATGCTCACTTTTCGTGTCTTCGCCTTCGACTTTTGAGGACGCCGACACGAAGACACGATGTATTTTTGGCGAAATTACGATATTTCAATAGGCGAAGACACGAGATCTTCTTCCACAAAATTATTGTATTGGCGGGTAGAAATCTTCGTATCGGCGCCCTATATTTGTCGTGTCGTTGTGTCTTCGCCTAAAATGCAAACGGCGAAGACAATGATTGGCCAATTATCGTGTCTTCGACTTTTGGGACAAAGACTCGACGACACGATCACACGATACATTGGCCAAAGAAATCAGACTCAAGATTTAAGTAATTACTTGTTTATGTGGGACTAATTTTTGATTTTTCAGTATTCATAACTATATTTCTATTGCGTAACTAACGCAGTAAAGGCTATTTTCGAATAGTTTGACCTTCACTATTATTTTACTAATTTATGTGGGTTGTGAGTGCGGTTTGTAATGTATAAATTGCATCCTTTTGTTTACTTCACACTATTTTACACAAACATTTTCACAATTTTTAATGAAAATTAAATTGAATCTGGAGGCGTGCTGCTTTTTAATATTTTTAAATTATGTAACAGCAAGCCAGTCTGAACATCATACATCTCTGAACATCATACATCATTTAGAATACTAGTGTAAGATATATAGAGTTTTGACTGTACAACGTCCCGAAAGCAAATGACTTTCACACACGACCATATAGATGTATAACTTACCAAAAGCCTTTTAAACGAACCCGTTGCTGTCTTTGATTAAAATAAGATTCATGAATTTGCATCAGTGGTGAATATTGACAAAAAATAAACAAAACAACAACAAAAAACGTCACGGCTGAACAGCAACGCGAAAATAAACGCTTTCTTTTTTATTTTTATGCTTTGTTTCCCCCTTACCTAATGTGCTAATTATCAACGGACGTTCAATATCAACATTTCTTTGTAAATGGCTGTGTCCACAAATTAATATAATTCTTCGCTTTTCTCAGCGTTTCTCAATTATCTGCCAGACTAACAGACAAAATATATATGTTATAACTACAGGTATTCAAAAGCCTGTTTTTTTCTTTCCTGCGAAAATAATTTTATTCCATCGTAAACATGATTTCAAACGAATGCTAGATAAAAAATATCGGTTAACGGCACGTATCATTAGCAACAGTAGGGGTAAAAAAGTGTAAATATAAACGCTTTTGCAAATGTTTGTTTAACTAGTTATACGAAAATAGCAGAACTTGTGAATTTTGCTTGGATAATAAAGAAGCAAATATGTGTTTGTACAAAAAACCCGTTTGAAGCATATATTTACATTGTGATAATAACAGAATATGCATTTGGAATTTTTTATTTCGCGTGTTACGATAATAACGGACTGACATGTACATGTACACTATAATAACAAGTTTTCAATATTTTATCAATTTCATGTTTAAATGTTGAATTCTGCTTAAGCCGGTGCTAGGGGACGTGGACAATAGCTTGCAAATACCACTACCGTCCACGAACCGGCTCAATCAAACCGAGCTTGCAACATTTTCAAATTTTCTGTGTTGGGCTTTCTTTAGTGATTCTGTTTTTATTTATTTTATTATAATAATAGAACAGGTATTTGTACATTTTGAAAACAAGCTCTATGAAAATAATAGAACAAAAACTTTAATGCTAAACGGTCAAAGCCCCATTAAAAATAAGACACAATATAAAAAGGTAGATGTTTAGACCAGATTTATTAAATCATGCAATGTTAAAATGTTCAGCATCAGAGTTTAATTTTCTAGAATTATGTAAAGATATACAAGATCACGACTTAGCTGATTAATCTAATTTGATGTTGAGTGTATTAAATCATTAAGTGCTTAATTCGCGTCTAGCTTATACAACAATAAAACACTCATCTAGATCAATATCACCAGCAGACGACAATGTCTGACTTCTGTATCCAAAGACTGTATCTGAGTAAACTGGTCGAGTATAAATACACGGGGAGTAACAATTACCATGTATTGATGTCTCACGTCTGCTACTGTCGACAGAAATAAAGCCTAATGTTCCCATCGTAGGAGATGCTAGTGTATTGTTTTAATACAAGTGATATCAGTTATATGTATATTTGAATGAAATTAATGCAAAATTGTTACGATTTTTCGATGTAAAAAAGTGAAAAGTCAACAATACATTGCTACATTAAAGAAACAGTTGATAATGTATTTATTTTTATTTTTGTGCGTGAATACGCTCATTGAAGCAAATGTGTTTAACGATGTAGAAAAGTAAAACAATCAACAATACATTGCTACAACGAAGAAAAAGTTGATAAATAAAAACTGCTTATTTTTGTGCGTGAATATGCTCATTTAAGCAAATATGCTTGCTCCGACTAATAGTCTGCTGAAAATTTCCATTTGATTTATTCCAAAATGTATGATGATTACTGAAGGGAGATGTGAAGTTTCTTGTGTTTCCATGGATTACTCGTGCCTTCAATACCTGAATGACCGCATCATGAATGATACAAACACCACAATGCCCGAGCTCTCGGATACTCTCGAACAGTTTACCAAAGGATTGTATACTTACGGAATACCAGTAATTTGTATATTTGGAATCTTTGGTAACATGCTGTCTTTCCGAGTGTTTGCGTTCACAAGTTTCGGCAAACAGAATTCAAGCGTTTATATTCAAGCATTAAGTTTATCTGATACTGGATTTCTTGCGTCCTTGATACTAAGTTGGTTAGGAGGTGGTCGTATTGGTGTAGTGTATGGACACAGTTCAGTGTGGTGCCATGTCATGGTCTATGTAACGTACGTTTGTAGTTTTCTATCAGTATGGTACGTTGTTCTGATAATGGCTGACAGGTAAAAAAATAATTATCTTTTTATATTATTTTTGTGAAAATGTAATTAAATCATCTCCTTGAGCTATGGTATTTTGAAGAAAAAAAATCGGTCAACTATATTTTGTGATAATAAATTTCTTTCACGATGGAAATATTTGATTTTGTATTCAATTTATCTCAATCAGTTATAATGAAATGATTTATCAATGCTGTAAAAAAATAATTGTTACAAAACAAATTTACAATTTATCATTGTCGCGATTCAATTGAACTAAGACATATACCATGAAATATCCAACCATTTCTGTGTTAAAATTATATTGAATAGTTACAATGTTCAAAATGCTCTACTTTTGCTGGGACAACAAAATTCAAAATTTGTTAAAGAACATTTGCAATAAAATAAGCTAACAACGCTGCGATAAAGCTTTAATGATTATGAAACAATCAACAATAATGATAAAAAACCTTTTACAAAATTTTATGATGAAATAATTTACAAATTACGTGTTAATATTATCTACCAATGTTTTCTTAAACATTGAACATAAAATATTTCACCAAATGTTGTAGAAAATAATAAAAACTAAGGAAAATTTTAAGTATACGAGTAGTATGCAAATGTTGTGAAGAAAAATATAAATGTGTACGGTGGCATAATTCACCAATGCATTGATAATGGTCTATATACACGCAATCTACAAATGTTCTGATAGAATTCATTCCTTACTACTAACGAATATAGCCCCCTAATTTTGTAATGACATAAAACTTTTATTGTAAATTGTCTCTGTGGTGATAAAATGTCTGGAAAATACAAGAAAATGTTTCCTTTTTCTGTCAATTCTTTCCGTTACTCTGTAATGAAGCAATATTTTCATTCTATGCTTAATACAACTACAGAATGTCTTCTGTTTCATTGGTGTAAACATTCTTAGTTTTGTGATAAAAATGTTGAACATAAATAAAAATTGTAAAGCTTATGATGCATTACTTAATTAAATTATGATAAAAAAGACATAATTTATTAATCTAAAGGTCCAATGATATTACTTTTATAAAACATTTTTTATTGTTGGCGTCTTGTAAAAATTGCCAAAAATGTTGATTATTGGCCATAAACCATAAAGTTGAACCATTTTTTGATGAAAATATATAAAAGTCGCATACATAGTTTAATGGAATCTGTTCATGAGAGGCTATTATGAAAAGTTCAGCATCTCTCACGCTCTGTAGCACCGTCTAAAATACTAAAATTATAACAATCAATGATCCCAAAGGAATCAGAACACTGACATCAACAACTTTTGAATTTAAACTACTCCTACGCTTATAAATACATTTAAATATAAATTACTTTATTCTTCCAGTGGTCGTTTTAACTTAATTCAACTTACTAGAAAATTAACAATATTTCAAGGGGCCGCTGGGAAAGAAGTCTTCTCCCGATAGAAGATATTGAAGATCGTAGCTAAATATAATTGAATTTTGGTAGGGAAAGGTTCGTCTCTCTTATAGTGTATGTCATTAAATCCAGAAATCAAACGTTATAGCAATACTTGTGGCCCTTATTATTAGTGATGGAAATCGGATGAAATTTGTCCCAATCGATCATCGGTTCAATCGGATGGGACATAATCGATAACTTTCCGATTAAAGTCGCGTTAAAAAGAAATAGGGTAGAAACATTTTTTCCCAAGGAACTTGATTTTATTTTGTAACATGAACTTTATTTAGCACTTTTCATCACAGTTTTAACCCTACTTAGTTATTATTTTACGAAATAGATTTAATTTAATTTTCCAATGGATGTCAAATAATAACATTCACATCACATAATATATTACTATTGTTTACATCACGTATTGATCCTATTCAACTCAAAATTGTCTCTGAGATAATTTTTTTGCGATCGGCAAGGTGTTCCTAAAAGAAAATTACCGCCAGAATTAATTCGTTTTGATACTTTAAACATTTTCGACGACGTCGCGGAACATTTTTTTGTGAATCGATTATTGTCGTTTTACATAACAGTAACTGATTATCAGTGACTTGCGACAATCGGAACATCACTACTTATTATACATAAAAACTCAATCTGATACTTTCAGGAAGTAGAATAGAAAGTGATATATTTTAGTTTGTTGAACTGCGCTTACATTAATATAATTGAAATTAACCGCACTTGACATTTTGCAAAGTACAAAACTGCAAGTCTACATGAAATTGGATACGATTTGTTGTCACAAAAGATCTTATAAGAATAAAATTATATTGATTTTGCTATGAGGATTGACATGTTCGGTATTTTATCTGCCAAAGAAATTTAAAAAAAAGTTATTGAACCTTCATGACATACTTAAATAATTGTGTAAGTGTACTCCTTTACTGAATCTGTCATTTTCTTGTTTGATATTTCTTCTGATACTAATAAAAGACACATAATGCCGCTTAAAATGATTTTGATTTCACTAACATATTCACTAAGGTTCGGCATACTTAAGCTTTAATCGAAGATTGGTCTGTATGGAACGATTTCTTAATTAGTTTAATTTTGTAATTACTTGACTGTGCACTTTTTCAGAACTAAAATAATGTAATATTGGCTTGAGTACAAGTTGCGCAATATGATTAAAAATCAAATGAAGAATATTTTTAACTGAAAAAAAAAGAAGAAAAAGAAAATCGAAATCGTTAAACATCTGTTTCCCGTGTTGATTAGACTGATTAAAATGTTAAATATTCGCTGGAGACGCACCTCTTCTAACTCTAGCTTTGTTCAACATAATTCCATAATTACTTCTCGGTGCCATCCGATACTTCGCATCAATGCTTTTCTTGTATTGCACCACCTTGCTATAAATCTTTGGGTCAATATCAATATCAATATCAATATCCTTTTTTCGGCAGCAGGAATTCTATTTTGGGGATAACTATTCATTACAGACAGTTTGGAAAGTGCAAATCAGCAGGAAATAACAGAGCTGTCACTTTCGATTATTATATGCTAGATAAAATTATAAGAAATAACTTACAAACAGGAAACTTATCAAATAACTATAAAATACTGAATGGCTTGTTATAATGTGTGATTAAATGACCACAACAGAACAAGATCTATATATATTAATACAACATATTTTGTATTTTATTCTGACTATACTAATATATAGACGTTTTCTTCCACCTTATTTGTTTGGACGAAATGCTCATTTCAAATAGCAAACAGTATCATTAATTCTCATGAAGAAATATTTCACTTCCTTTATCTGATGCCCCTAAAGTGTATACTTAAACCATATTTAATGATAAAGAATCTATTTTTTCTGTTAGAAGTATACAAATAATTGAAGTTCGAACAAACCCCGACAGTTAGATCCTAAATACTTAGTAGATTCTCAATAGGATACTTCTAAATTTAACTTAAATATCAACCGTTATATAATTCTCCATATTGGTGCTCTGTAAGGGATATTTCTTCAATAAAATTTCAAGACATACTACTCACACGCGATGCAATTTAAGGATTCAAAAGTACACAATAAAAAGTCAAGAATATAGATTATGAAGTCTAGAAATACATGTATTTAGAATTTCTTTTAAAGAACAGAGGTGAAGTTGATAACGAGCAATTTATCCATTTTGGTTTAGATATAAACATGAGAAATAATAACAAACACGCTAAAAAGTTTTTCTTTTTTATGAGAGAACATAATTTTCTTTGTTCTATCTCAATAAAGTCAATACGGAGGTTCCTCATAGGGTCATTAACCACTGAGAAAAATCGCAATTGCCGACACTAATTTTCTAGAAGACCTCGGTTTTACCCCACAATATATCAGCTGTTCTAACCAACTGAATCAAATGTTGTTATGTTTATAGACGTAAATTCTTTTTTCAATTTACAATGTATAGCGTTTTTATGGAAGGCATAACCATGTTGTTTCTTAAAAATATTTACAGGAAACTTTGTTAGCCAAAAGCAATTACGCTTTATGTATCACAGTATAAGTATTTAGGTTTAATATTCAGAAAAAGAAATAATGTGTTTTACATTATAAGTAACACAATAAAACAAAAGACTAGTAAAACCAAACGAAACTGCCTCAAAAATAATCTAGTGCACAAATATCTATATACGTAATATATACAAACAACATATAACGGACAGAGATTGGGACATTAGATTGCAAGTTTTTTTTATATACAATCTCAATGTGTAAGACTCAATAGCTTTAGATTCTCATGTAAAGTAGCATTTGGTACAAAGCTTAATGAACTTTCTACTCTTTAAAATGTCATATTAATTTTTATACATATTTTTATTAACGTACAACTGGTCACAGGGACTGTGTGTATGTAATAAACTTATTTTTATATTTCTTTAATGCAACTTTATAATGATCACTACCCAACAATAAAGATCTAGGTTAAGTTCAGAGAAAAAGAGAAAAAAACTTACAGCAAATATGACTTTAATCTAGACTTGACAAATAACAATGTAATTAAGACCCGAGACAAATTACAGCTTGCTTCTAGGCCAGACGAATAAGAGCGTAACTGAGTGTTCAAGCACGACAAAACAGAGATGCATTAGATCCTAATAAAGATAAGGTCAATATAAGTTTTTGAAATAAGAAACGGCGAATAAGAATTAAAATTTGTGTTAAGATCTTCATTTTATCAATCAAAGGAGAAAACACAAATTTAGATATCGCCAGTAAGAGCTTCATAAAGACACAACAGTGTATTTAAAACTGGATGACTAAGACCTTGCTTAAGACACACAAAAGAAACAATGTTTGAGTTTAAATAAGACAGCTCAATGTTTGAATCTGACTGATAATGCCAGGATGAATAAGGTATTTATCTCCACACGACAAAGAAATATTTAAAATGTGCAAATCCATAAGAGTTCTATAAAGTCGCAACGAAGACGAATAAGAGATTGATTTTAAATTGTGTTCTACATCCGTCTTTCTTAAATGATGAATAAAATTGTCAAACGCTGTATCTGTCACTACAGTTGATGCAGTATTTTTTCTGTCTGCTGATTATGAAACTAAACATGTATATACACAATTTATATATGTTACGTCTTAAGGTGTATAATAATATCTTGCCGACTAAGTCATGCAATGTATTAATATCTAGACCAAGAATTTGTTAAGAAAATGACTTACCTAGTGCTACATTTTCAATTTTTATTACCAAAAACAAAACCACCAATATGGCGAGCAAGTGCAATGTTTGATCAATGCTGCAGTATATTTTAATATACCTGGGCATTCAGTTATCCTTAAAATTGTGTGAAAAATTTACTTATTTTACTCAACTGAATTCGTCTTCCTTTTGAGTATTACATTTATAAAGCATTTCTGGTGAAAAAATACTTATTTTACTGACCTAAATTTATCTTTTCTTATTATAACAGGAAAGAGGAATTAATCTTTTAAGGCGTTCGTTACATGCCTTGATATAGTCTAATTTGATTCGTCCATGTACACACTTCTTTTGATACAATATGTTTGATATATCGTAATGTTTCACGGTCCTCTAATTTCTTTTACTTTTATTTTCAGATACATCGTCGTTTGTCACTCATTACACGTCCCAGATTGGTGTACAAAGAAACGTGCAAGAGTTGTAACCGGTGCTTTAACTCTATTTGGAGTGCTTTTGTATTCACACCTTTTCTTTACGGCGGAAATCGGCGGCGACAATTGCCGACTTCAGTTCAAACCGTTCATGTTGAGATTTATTTCAATTTCGATTTACGCCGACACAGCAATAACTTTTGTCATACCTTTTGCTATTATTTTCGTTTTGAACATACTTGTTATTATTTCCATGAAGCGGTTTCAATTGAGACATAACTATCTTCGAGACAGAGTTCAACAAACTGATTTTACAAATTTGGATGTTCTTACAAAAGCACAGTATCATATTACACGTACATTTATTCTAGTTTCTGCCGTGCTACTTGTGACAAACGTACCCAGCCATGGGATACGATTTTATATAATCGTCAAGCGATTAGTTAATTCTGGTGACATAGTCCTCTATCATGCTCAACATGTCTTCCAGATTATTTATTATTTCAATTTCGCGGTCAATTTCCTCCTGTACAGTGTCAGCAGCCGGAAATTCCGGAAATATCTCAAGTGCCGATATTTGTGTTACTGTTGTAAGAAACGAGGTCGCAATCACTTGACTAATGAAGAATTGTATCGTAATTTTCATTTGCTTCCTCTGCGCAATACTTTACAACGAAGACTTGTTTTCAATGACAGCAGAGCAAGAAATGTGATATAGGCAGTTCACATTTAACATTAATGATGCAAAGCAACTATACTTGTATATTTCTACGGTGTTATAACAGACAACAGAACAGTTGTAGACTCATATGTCTTGTGATGCATATTTACTTATAGACCATCATTCATATCATCTGTCATGATTATTTTATTGCATGTTTAGGCTGTTATATTGTTATGTAATCAACTGCAATATGAACATATTCATTATGATTACTTATTATTTCTATAAAAAAATCACAATAACACATTACAAAGTTCGTAATACGTTCGTATATAGGTTGTTGCGTATAATATTTATTTTCCCAAATTCCATTTTTAGACACATTTCATTAAATTGAGATATAACTTAATCTTAACACAATTGAAAGTATTGCATAAATTCATTAACTCTTCTAAGGTTATTTAATAGGTTTTGTATGATATCTTTTGAACAAGAATATAATATGCCAAACCTTAAAAAGTTTCTTTTTTATTATTTTCTTCATATTTTTTACGTTGAAATATACAGAACATCACATAATTATATAGTGAATAACGCCGACACAACGTGTATTACTTGCACGAGATACCGCACATATCTGGACCGAGAATGTCACATCTCAAAAGCTTGTCTAGTTCCGAGCAATGTTTGTATCGAGATGAGTTTCAGTAAAGATATATTTTGGTACCGTACATCACAAATATTGTCTTCCATTAGATCTACTAAAATTCTGGCAAAAGACAGGACAGCTCCTTTCAAAGCAGTGAAAATTAATATAAACATGTGAACATTGCTGGTTTAGTATTACAGAGGCTTGCCAAGTTTTTGTTTGGGATCCGCCTGAGCTCCTTGCCACTGATTCTTGCTGCTGGATCGTGTTGGGGTTGCGTTCGTTGAGCACTTGCTTTCCTTGTTGATCTCTTTTTATCATATTTTTTGTCATGCATTGTGCACAAACTGTTTTGCCCCTAGCATCAATTTAAGCATTAGTTAATCTCAAACACTATCTATTCTGAAAGCAATGATCCAGAATGACTAGAAAATTAAAAAAGAAATGAATGAAAATAAAAAATAAATAATGTGAAATTGTAAACAAGAGTCGATTATTTCAAACATTGAATAACTTCAGCTCATTTCTATGACTGCAAACATTTTTTAATGATGCGACGACAAACACGTGAACATAACGGTATGCATTTTATGATGTTACTGGTTAAAATGTTGTGACACTGAACACTTTGAAATCATGTAACTTCACGTGAGAGCACACAGTAAGTTGGACATCATGTGACTGCAAATACGTTTACATTATATGACGGTAAATACATTTACATGATGTAATTGCAAGGACGTCGTTATTTCTATGTTAAAAAAAGATCTCTTTATGTACAGTGAGTATGCATTTTATCGCTTGCATATCTCATTAGTAATATGTATATGCGATTTCTCCCTGTAGATAAGAAAAATGAATATACGAGATGTTGTCACGCTATTTCATATCTATTACCACACAATGTCTACACTGATATATATCATAAATCATATAAATTTTCCAAATCAAAGTCTCTGTTGACGTTAATACGGTGAAATGCCATTTATCACTAAATGCGTTTCATATTAAATTTTAATGTCGAGTCATATTAATGACTTTTTCTTTTTAAAACAAATAAGTACATGACTTTTTCTTTTTAAAACAAATAAATACAAATGTTGAAATATAGCTGTACGTGTTTATAAACAATTTGTAATGCTTGTGTTATGTAAATGTGCATGTATACTGCTATTTGCGAACAAATTAGTCGTAGTTTTGTCTATTAAACTGAAAACAGAAATGATTAACAGGCTTACACTTAGATTTTCTGAAGATAGAAAATAAATCTCGTTCAATAGAAAGACAGGTTGCTTAGATACAATAAAACACAGCTTTAAAGAGCAGGAATTAATATTAACATTGCAACCAAGATTTTTTTAATGTTTCGAAATGTTTTAGAAAAAAGTAGTAAACCACGTTAGTAGCAGTGCTGCAATTCAGCAGCCTAGTTTACTACCCATTATAGTAGTTACTGGTATATATCAGCCATCAGCAAATTTGTCTGAATCTGTAGTTTCTGGATATTCAATTGACAAAACACTGATGTGAAACAGAAACACGCAAGATCACCGCAAAATCCAAAATATTTTTTATGTTAGAGTTTCTGGCAAGTTTTCATCTTTAAGGTATTAGGACCCTAATGGGCACTATCAGGAACTAAAGAATTGACATCATAGGTCAGATGTATACCTTAAAGTACACCTGTATGCAAAATTTAAACAAAATTTACCGTACGGAAATCAAGTTATGGCCACTTTTCTGAACTCAAGCTAGGATGTTATGAGGGCTTTTTTTTATAAATGAGGAACCTTTAAATAATCTGCAATAACATTCTAATGGAAAATGTTTTCCCATGAATTTTTGGTAAGAAACAAAAAGTACCATTCAGCTAACAATCCACATAAGCAAAATTATGGTTTCTACTTAAAATTTATGAAATCTGTATAAAAATGTTACCCTACCCCACCCATTTTTACCACATGTCTGACCATTTTTCTACTTAGGGAGCCGAATTAAAAAAATTCTTAAAATTTACCCAAATGAGTGCCTGTTTTCAAAGTTTCCCTAAATTTTTTAAAAAGTATATTGGTTGATCTTGTAAAATTTGAAATACTTTTACCGTCTAGTTTTGATTATATTACACTTTGAAAATATCAGGTACCATATTTATTACTAGATTTAGCATAATTTAGCCAATAAATACCTATATAAATTAAAAATTCAAAATTAAACACTTTTTTCTTTCCATATGGGACATGAGAGATACATAAATAATGTTAAAAGAAAAAAAGAAAGAAAAAAAAAGTTGACCCTTCTGGGGATTGAACCCATGGCCCTCATTTTCAATGTAGTTAACAGTAATTCTAGCCTATTTGAATACTCTTCAAAGCGGAGGTAATGCATTAGGGTGCTAATACCTTAACTTTGAAAAAACTTTATCTTAATTAATGTTCCTGTACAACTATTTTACTGTAGTCCACAGAGAAGTAAACTTTAAAAGCAGAACTCGGATTTAATTTTCTAAATGATTAATTATAATTTAAAAAAAAATGAAATCTTAAAAGAAAGTGAAAGTTTTAATGTTGATTAAGTGGCAAACCGCTTCATGCGAATACTACAATTGTACAAATTTGTACTTTGATATAATAGCGGAAATTTACTGCATGCTTTTATCCATTAACCTATTGCATTTTAATATGGAACAGTCCGTTCATCATTTAAGTGCTTTTTAATATCAAAATACACAAGCTGAGTTACAAAAAAGAAAAGGACCTTGCCAGACTACACAATGTGTAATTGATCTGACTCTTTACTGGTGATAAAGGCTGATCTGTTCTGCTCCAGCAAGTTGAGGGTTAAATTCAAACTTGTATAAACACTTTCATACACATTATTCAAATTCCGATGAAGGAGATTTTTTGCGTATTTCTAAATGTTTCAGGACATCCATATCTTCATATACACGCATCATATATGGTAGTTGGGTTGAATTGCCACCATAACAATTTCAAAAACAACATGTGAACCTCATAGACAGCAATCATAAGTTTGCTCTTCGCGCGTGTTAAACTGTTTGTGGCTACCATTAATGTAATGACCCCCCGGACTTGCATATAACTATTCTCCTAACGGTTGCCAATGTGATTTGTATAGTCTACAATACAGCAATATGTTATAGGATGAATGTAAATGGACATTCAAAAAGACATTCGTTTATAAGATTTTAATGATCCTGCTTTTATCCGATGTAAGTAGAAACTAATGTAAGTACTGAAAATGCCAACAAAATAATTACTTTCATTTTTCTTTCTCTTTATAAAAATCCATTAATAACAAAAGACGTATTCTGTAACTCAAGATATAGTTACGTTGTTTTACCTGACATGTAAAATATAAATTACATTTACCAAGGTTGGTAAAATCTGTGATCTACAAACTAAAAGTATCAATTACAACCGATAATGTACCTCGAACGTGTCTGAGCATCAACGATACTCAAGTTACATTTTATTACTTGAATCATTACCGACACATTAATATCTATATTTTCAAATATGCACATCGGTAATCTGACTTAAGAAACAATGTAAGGTATGAAATATTGTGCAAATACTGTGAATAAATATCTCACATGTTTATACAAAATGTTTATACTGAAATAATTCACCATTGTGTTAAAGATATTTTAGATACTTAGTGTGGAAGTCAAATATCATTTTGGTTTCATTTTACTATTTTTATGACAAATCATTTCACACTCAATGTGACATTCTCTAGATGTTGAATATCTTACATGCTCATAATCGATTATTAAATAGCATATTTGCATTTTCTAAATAACATAAAAACACTTCAATTATTAGAATCAATGATCCGAAGGACCGGTGGAATATAACAACACTAAGATCAACAAATGGAAATTATTTCAATTACTCCATTGCTTTCAGAAACAATTAGAAAGTTTTACAAATTAATCTCTTCATCTTGTGGTCGTTTTAACTCAATTCAGCTTAAAGCAAAATTAACAAGATTGCCGGTGGCAGCCAGAAATCTGGATGTGAAATTAGAGATAAAGACAAAGAAGATCACGGCTAAATATAATTAAATTTTGGTAATCATTTTTTATAAGAGAGAGGGATGTGGTGGATAAAGTGTGTGCCTAACTTAAACCAAAACTACTCTGGGCAATGACCATGATTACTTATAATATACAAACTCACAAGCGGACTAGAAAGTGAAGAGAGAGAGAGAGAGAGAGAGTGCAAAAAAATAAACCGCAATTGAGAGAGTGCAAAGCGCTTAATTGTTGGGTTTAGACATAATTATGGTGTATGATTATAGTGAATATCTTCTGTCTTGAACTGTCATGATTTGTTTGCTTGTTTTGTTGGATTTTAAGCCAGCCAAGAAAACACTGTTAAGATCATATGGCGTCTTTCTAGCTTTACTTGAGACTCTAAGGTGCCCAATTCGTGCATTATTTTAGGTAAAGCCAGGAATAGGAGTACAACGATCGATCTTTCGAACTAGCCAAAAAGCTTTCTAACTGGAAAGAATATAAAGTCCCTGACGGGATTGGCATCCACAACAATAAGGGCAGGGGAACCAAATGTTTTGATGTTGGTATATAGGTGTATAAGTTAACTCTAATAATGTCATTTACATCTTGTTTAATATCTCTTCTAATAAAAATTCAATTTAACTGATGGTATTATGAATCTGTAAATTGTAAAATGATAACAAATTGAAAAAAACAACAAAAAAAACAGGCACCTGCTTGAAAAAAAAACCCAACAAAACAAACAATCTTTACGGTAATCGAAAAGGACTGACAATTTAAAAAAATGGAAAATCTCTTCTTTAGAAGTT